CATCATAGCGACGCCACATGAAAGCGACGTTTGCGATGGCCACGTCAGCAGCATATCCGGAGATATACCGACTACACAAAGTAAATTGTTGTGTCTGCTGCCGGGACTGCGTGTCTTAAGGGACCCACGTGCTTTGGCGCTTCACGTCTCGATGCATGTTGTGTCGACGAAAAACTGCTGCATATACCATTTGACAAAATTGTGTGGGGAGTTTTTGTCTTTTTTGCTTTTCGCGCGGCCCTCGCGGCTGGCAGCCAAGCGGACTTACTGTGGGGTGCAAAAGCTGTTGAAGCTCTGAGGGGCCTTAGGGTTTTAGGGTTTTTAGGGTTTTAGGTTTTAGGTCCACAGCGATCTGTGTTTTCATACGTGGTTCTGCATCTCGTGCCGGAGGTGCGTGGTGTACGGCGGGTGTACTGCCAGACGCAGCGTGCTTTGCTGAGATGACCCGGTGCAATGAGAAATCGTGTCAAGATAAAGGGTACGTGTTCTTGTTGCCCTCTCGCGTACGTGTGCATGGAGCGCTGGTGTTGTTGTTTGCGTTGGCATGCTTCAGTTTAGTACGAGGATGTGCAAGATTGTGGCGTGCGTCGTCTTTGCATGCATGCCGCCTTTTTATTTCCTGGGAATGTGTTAAATATTATTATCAATCGCCGAAAAGCGCACCCTTCGCATTTCTTTCGGGTGGCGAGTTAGTTTCACAGGATGACTGGGTATGAGCGGTGCTGCTGTACTGATGAGGCTTTCGATCTGACACGCATTTGAGGGTGGTGACGATGGCGGTAAGGAACGAAAAAGCCGACCGCATGCATGAGGTTGTCGGGCGGGGGGGATGGGGAATTCAGGGGCCTTGTCCTCGGCCCAAGTATGTAATAATACCCTGCACGTATCACCTGGGCTTAAAACCGTCTCGCCGCTAGCTGCTTTGATTTAAGAATAATCGAATGGATATTCCGTCCCTAAGCAAACTTCCTTACTGATGGTGTGAGCAGAGGGTTGCAGAGATGGGGGATTGGGGCCAGGTACTGGTCAGGCGGGATGGGGAATAGGGTTGACGACGTCAGGATGGGATGTGGGGCCCAAGGCGAGGATTAGGGATTAGGCCTGCTACACTACTTTTGGGATGGGGATTGCTGTCGGGGGTGAGGATGGGGATGGGATCCCTGTCTGAGGGATGGGGATTGCAACCTTGACCAAGGAGGGGATTGGGAGCCCTGGCCAGGGATGGGGATGGGACCCTGGTCGACAGGACGGGGATTGCAGGCTTTCGCAAGTTTAGGATGAGCTCGCTGCCATAGGATTGGGAACACAGTTGGAGGATTAGAATTGGGTGTTCTGCTGTAAAATGAGGCTGCAGTTGCAGAACTTGGAATACTGACAGGACTGCAAAACAGGCCAAGGATGGATGGTTTAGTTGTCCATAGTTGCTTACATGGAAACTCAAACAAACACAAGGAAGTTCTGCTTGCAAGTCGCGTCCCATAGCAAACCAAACTCAAACACAAGGAAGTTCTGCTTGCAAGTTGCGTCCCATAGCAAACCAAACTCAAACACAAGGAAGTCCTGCTTGCAAGTCGCGTCCCATAGCAAAACAAACTCAAACACAAGGAAGTTCTGCTTGCAAGTCGCGTCCCATAGCTAACCAAACTCAAACACAAGGAAGTCCTGCTTGCAAGTCGCGTCCCATAGCAAAACAAACTCAAACACAAGGAAGTCCTGCTTGCAAGTCGCGTCCCATAGCAAAACAAACTCAAACACAAGGAAGTCCTGCTTGCAAGTCGCGTCCCATAGCAAACCAAACTCAAACACAAGGAAGTTCTGCTTGTAAGTCGCGTCCCATAGCTAACCAAACTCAAACATAAGGAAGTCCTGCTTGCAAGTCGCTTCCCATAGCTAACCAAACTCAAACACAAGGAAGTTCTGCTTGTAAGTCGCGTCCCATAGCTAACCAAACTCAAACATAAGGAAGTCCTGCTTGCAAGTCGCTTCCCATAGCTAACCAAACTCAAACACAAGGAAGTTCTGCTTATAAGTCGCGTCCCATAGCTAGCCAAACTCAAACACAAGGAAGTCCTGCTCCGGCATCGGCCGACTGCCCGATGGGGTCCATCCCAAGCGTTTCCACGATGACTTCGGCCATGTCCCTGGCGAAGCCCAACCCCGTCAATTTTGCCAGCTTTTGACGCTTCTGCAGAAGGTTAACACCATTGGGAATAGAACAGGCATGGAACGCGACTTGGTGTAAATGTGAGAAACGTGCACCATTGGTGCCAGTTCTTCAGTCAGACGCAGTCCAACCCCGTTCTTACCTTGTCCGGCCCATGCACATCCACACCCAAGGCACCATCGGATGCCATTCTGGAAGAGATAACAAACGGTCGTCGGGGTGTTACTAGCTTGCGCTTAAGAAGGTGGGCGTCTTCCAAGACGAAGTTTGGGACACTTTGAATAAGACCCGAACGTAATCTGTATGCAATCTGCAGACCCTACTGGGGGACAAGTCCGCAGGAGGCGTATCAACATGCAAGACGTTATCAACAGCAAGCCGGTTTGGGGGTCCAAGTACAGCCTGTCACGCTGACTAGTTGGACAAGGCTGTATGCTCTTCTGCGTGAAGGCATAATGACTTCACCAGGAGAGCAGCAAGAATGAAGTCGCCACTGCGACCCAGTTGTACGACAGCACCACAGAACCAGCCTTAGAAGATCCGGTCGCTTCGCTCCGTCGCATCTAAGCCAACAAAACGTTATCAACAGCAAGCCGCTTTGGGGGTCCTGGCTCAAAGTGAGGCCCACCCTGGAGTTAGTTGTTAAGCTTTCATGTTACTTCCTCATACAAACTGCTTCTCTAGTACTGTGATGTTTTATTGGTTATATTCATGCAAACTGAGCTGAAGTTGCAAGGCGCGAAGATGCTGGCCGCATCATGCCGCACCGCATTCCCAAGCCAGTATGCACAACTCTGAGAAAGTTTGCAGTCTTTATTGTTTTGTTGTGGCACAACTCCACGTAACTCTGCGCATTATAGTGCATAGGAGCAATTCTTGCGCAGAAGTCCAAGTCGACTCAAAAGCATTCCAATTGGACTGTCTGGCTTGATGTGATGTTATCAGGTTGTTTATCGTAGCGCTTTGGCGCACCCAACGTGGAATGTTGGCGCCGGAATGTGCAGCTGAACTCCTGCGCTATGAACCTGAACCAATGGTGCACGTTCCCAGCCATGGACATTTTGACAGAACACCCTTGTACGTTCTGCCATTCTAACCACAGCATTATAATTTGTTGCTGTGGCCGTCCTTCGAACATAACAGTCCTTCCCCCCTTAGGACGCGCGATTTGCAATAGCAGCCAGTGTGCAATTAGATACGTAGACCTCAGTGATGCGAGTTCTTCCTCAGTCGAGATCCGCTTCAACGAGCGTTTGTCGCTTCAGTCTGCTTCGGAACGAACACAGCCGGGCGGAATTTGACGCTAGAGGAAATAAGCCATAGAGCAAGAGAAAAATATCTCGCGGAAATAGAAAATAACCCTGGTCGTTCCCCTGATTTACGCCTAAAGAGAAAGCCGATATTACAGCACCTGTGTAAACGTAAGGAGTAGGTTTGTAGCTGGCAAGGGATGGGGATGGGACCCTGGCTGACAGCTTTCGGATCTGAACACAGCTGCAGGATGGGGATGGCCCTGGTCGAAGGGATTGGGAAGGGACCCTGGCTGGCAGGATGAGGATTGGGGGAACACAGCTGCAGGATGGGATTGGAAACCCTGACCATAGGATTGGGGATGGGACCCAGGCCGGCAGGATGGGAAACCTGTCTCAAGGGATGGGATTAGCACCGGGCCCCTGAGATGGGAGATGGGAGTCGGTCACCCCAGCCAGGATGGGGGGATGGCTGACCGCTACCACCCCCCGGGATTGGGGGATTAGACCGTTTTTGCAACCCTCTGGTGTGAGTCATCACCGAAATCCTGTTTTTGAAAAGAAACTGCTGTATCAATCGTTTCTTGAATGGTACCAACATCGCATAGCGGTCGAAATGGCTGTTGGGGCCCATAGGGGGCTCTTGTTGATTGACTGCAGCAGGTGGCTGTGAGGTGGCTCCTCCCGCACACAACATACTAGCGCGGCAACCCCGCTGAGCGGGCCTATCTCCCTTTGCTCTGTGTGTTTTACTGCTGCAGTCAGCAGGGCGCTGCTCTTCCTTAATGCGTGTCCGTAGGTCTGATCCTCGGGTACATGTACGCTTGCATGTACCCTTGGGTTGCTTTAATAGGGCTGACACCCAATTAGCATTGAATGTCGTACGTCTGTAAAATTGAGGAGTGTCTATAAACCACCTAATTTGAGGCCTACCTATAAACTATGGCACAGTTTATGTAGAGCATACGATCTATTTCTCGGTCCCATCTCGTATTCGATGACCCAATATACCTGTAGGCCAAAAAACGTTTTACCGACGTACAACTGCCAAAGGGGCCCTTGCGGTGTTCCGAAACCACAGCCTACTACTCCTACTGCTACTGCTAGTACTAGTACTACTGCTAGTACTAGTACTACTGCTACTACTACTACTACTACTACTGCTGCTGCTGCTGCTACTGCTACTGCTACTGCTACTGCTACTGCTACTGCTACTACTGCTACTGCTACTACTACTACTATGTACGGGTCACTCAACAGACGATGAGCAACAGTCCACGACTCTGTGTATGTCAGAGCAAGTACACTTGCATTGTGCGTGCCGTGCAAAAGGGTTACAATAAAAAGGTTCACAAGTCATGAGCGAGTTCTGACCACGGAAGGTGTACGCCTCTAATAAGGTGTGACAAAAAACGTTTGTTAGCAGCCTGTTATACCCATCCCCTCTCTGCTACCAAGGGTTGCGTCCCCTCAACTGACAACAGCTAACAGATAGAGAAGCACGGTTAGCAAGCAGACATCGGCAAAAGGAGTATTTCTGGCTTCGGGTACCAACGGTCCGCTTCTGTCTTGCCCAGAGCGCGGTCATGGCTCGTGACCGCATCATTGGCTGCCGGCTCCGGCCGGGGATAGTTCTATCTCTGCAAAAACGGGTCTGCTTAGGGAATTCTAATTCTGTTTTCGGCGGGAGTTTCGGTACGTACAATCCGAAGTGCCCGACGCGTTTGCCAATGTCTGTTAGCAAGACACGTACTACCATACCATGTCTATCTATCTATCTATCTATCTATCTATCTATCTATCTATCTATCTATCTATCTATCTATCTATCTATCTATCTATCTATCTATCTATCTATCTATCTATCTATCTATCTATCTATCTATCTATCTATCTATCTATCTATCTATCTATCTATCTATCTATCTATCTATCTATCTATCTATCTATCTATCTATCAAACACGCCATCACGACATCATTCTTCACAGAGCCAGCGGGCAGATCACGCGCAGTGAGCGATGCGCTTGTTGATCGTCAAAATCTGACCAGCAGCGGAATAAAGCTGCCCCAGATTTCGGAATTATCTTGTCCGAGCTGACCGTCACTATTTGATCTGCGCATGCATGTAGAAATGACACATATTCGTCGACTATTAGTAATGCATGCATGGAAAGCTTGTTTTAAGCTTCGAAAATACCAAACTTCGTCACATTTATATACCGGAATAAGTTATTTTCATTCTTCTTGACCGATAAGTTTAAGGTCGTTACTATTTCGGATGGCCGGCTTTGCAAGGCGTGCAACATGCACGCTTGCACCTGCAGCCATCAATTGGCCCAATTATATAATTTTTGGACGCCTATCTGTTATACCATGGCGCGGTCTATAGACAACTCAATGAATACATGTTTTGGTCCCATCTATCCTACGATGACCCTGACTATCTATAGACCATAAAAGAAATTACCGATCGTGGGATTCCTGCGCTCACCCCCAGCATTTGACTTGATTTCCTGGCTGCAGCAGCACGCAGGTGTGGCCATTGCCTGTCGCCACTTCCACCGCAGAGAAGCCTTCTGACAGCCCTAAGTCCGCGGGGGGAGGTGCGGTCCCCAACTCGTCGGGGTCATCGCCTACTTCTAGAGAGTTGAATCCCAGACCGGGATTTCCCGCTAGATTGTCCCTGCGCACATCATCACTAGATCTCAGCGGCTCGTTAATATTAAGACAGCAGCGGCGCTGGAGTGATCAGCGAGCTATAGCTACCGGCAGGTATACTTGTGAAGATTTCTACTTATGAAGTTAAGATTTCAATTGAAACACCAACACGGATTTTATGGTAAGGCAATCAACATGCCGAAAGATGGTTCACTGCTGCCACTGGTGGTTGGACATTATTTGAAGCTGCTGCCCCGATGTGTGTGTAATCGAGCGGCGCAGTGCAAGTGGTAGATGGACAGAGCAGCCCGGACGTACGCGCACATACACACGTGTCTGTGTGTGTGTGTGTCTCTCTCTCTCTCTCTTTCTCTCTTTCTCTCTAGATATATAGTATTTCAATATCCAATGCTGCGAACACATGCACGCACCCCCAGCACTTGACTTGTCCGGCAGGCTGTAGCAACGCACACGTACTGTAGCCGCCAGCCGCCACCGCAGTAGCCACGAACCCAGGTCCCAAATCCACAGCCTGCAACACGACGGCCATCTGACCCTGCTGACTCCCCCGCTCCCACCGATCTCCGGTGCCCAGCGCGCCACGGTCGTTGTACCAAGGCATGTGCACTTGTGACCGAGGCGCAATGATTGCCTGCCTGCCTGTCGATCTGCAACTGGAAAGTTAACTGTCTATCGAGATTATTGCTCCTGAAATACAGCTAATAATGGCATCCGTGGATTTATTACGCATGAGAACCAGCATGCAGCGGGGCCAGACTTACCTGCATCTCACCCGGGCATGTACGCATGTACGCATGTACGCATGTACGCATGTATGCATGTACGCATGTATGCATGTACGCATGTATGCATGTACGCATGTACGCATGTACGCGCATGTACGCATGTACGCATGTACGCATGTACGCATGTACGCATGTACGCGCATGTACACATGTACGCGCATGTACGCATGTACGCGCATGTACGCATGTACGCGCATGTACGCATGTACGCGCATGTACGCATGTACGCATGTACTCACCCCCAGCACTTGATGACACCCACAGGTTGCAAAAGTGCGCACACGTGGGCATAGCCGGCGGACAGTGCTGTGGCATTGTACGCGGGGCCCAGGTCCACCGGCAGCAGGGCGTCACCCATCTGGCCCGGCAGCACGCCGCGGTCCAGAGTATCGCCCTGTCCAAGTTGGCCACTCCCGTTTGCCCTGTATGTGGGTGGGTGGATGGGTGGGTGGGCATGGCTGCCGCTTTCCAGTGGGTGAAGGTGATAGCCAGGCAGGGAAGAAAGCTCTTTCGTTTGCATGTGAAAATCATAATCACCATGCTATGTACATGTATTGGCCCATACATACAATAATGGTATCTAGGCAGGGAGCAGGTGAGTGGCAATGGGACGATGTTACTACTAATAAAATCTACCACGCACATACGTACAGTGTGCCGGTCGGCCTCCGGGGGCTGGCATGCGTGCGGCTGAGCGATGTGTGTGTGCATCTGATTAAAGTACGGCTCCCCCTGTCTTCGTTCCCTTGCGTCTTCCAGGCCTCCGGTCGACATGCAACGACATACAAGCTCAATGCACTATTGCTTGTACACAACACGCATTGGCAAGTATTAATTGGAGCACTTGAAACCCAGTTTTTATCATTATTGATGATCAAGCATGCTGCAATTTACACGTGGCCTGCTAAGAACCCCATGCCGCCGCACATACGCATGCCGCGGCACGCGTGTTTATTCCAAGATTATTTTACATCACGACTTCAGATAAGTACCGATCGGCGGATGCAGCTCTCGTGGTATGCCCAGAATACAACAGAGCACAACTTTGTATCTAGGCGGTTTGTACGTCTGTATGTATCTTACCCCCAGCATTTTACGACATGGCCCGGCTGCAGCAAGGCACAATCACCAATTTTTAGTCACCAATGTTGCCGGCTAATACAGTACTTGTACTGTGCGGTTAGCATAGTCCATTCAGCTGCGGAACATGTCCGAATCTAATTGCTATATGGAAGGACGCACGAATTTAGTCAGACGAATTTAGTTTTCCATTCGGGAGCTGATTCCCCGAGTCAGCTAACCGCAGGCAACCGTCAGGCTGCCATCTTTATCCCCAGCTGCAGCCTGCCCCATGTGTCCACTCACGACAGTTGGCCTTCTAAACGACAGATAAACCAGAGCGCTGTCATCATGGCTTTTTAAATGTTTTTTCTGGACTTCTTTTTGTTTACTTTAAAAAACGCTGAAAGATGATCAATAATGCATGATAACGGATGCGGGTTACTCGTTCGGTGGGTAAGCAAACCGGCGGCGCGACGCAGCAGGACCCCGATAACGCAGAAACGTACATACGTCTGGCAAACATTTTTAAATCCTACGCCCCAAAACGTTTTATAAGTTATATCGTATTAAACTGGGAAACCGGGTCGCGTTTCACCCTACTTGATAACAATCGGGTAGCCCCGCCGGCCGGACCGGGTACGACAGCCTTTGCGACCGGCCACTGGACCGGAACCGGACCCGCCGAATTTGGACCGAAAAGGTGCTGCTCGAAGCTCCCAATCATGTCCTAGTGATAAAGTATGACCATAGCCAGCGTTTTGAGCTGTCAGGCCGACGCGCGCGACCGGTCTTCGCGTGTGTTTGGGTTGCTTTGAGACACATTATCACAGCGCGCGGCGATCCAGTTGCAACAGCAGCAGCCTTCAGGACCAGCAAGAGAACTGACAGAAACAGGTAAATAAGCCTAATCTGACTGGGAAGACATAGACCGCGCTTCTTTTGCGTTTTCTCCCTTCCAACCGTTCACCCGGCGGCCCCTTGGTGCCCCAGAGAGAGTCGGACCGGCCGCACTGCGCCGCGTCCCTCGCATGGCTCATACTTGCAGACATCACACATTTGGCGGAGGGAACGCATTTTGAACTGCGTTCAAATTTGTCATTAACACACCTAAACAAGTTAAATCAATGAAAAAAAGTTACTCCGTCGGTGAAATGAAGGGTTCCTTCGTCATGTATGGAGCCCACTGTAACAACCACACACACATGTATGTACATGCAACCAGCATTCACCAATTGCTCCATTCACCTTTCACACACGCACGCACATCGCACATCGCAGTCAGTTTCCCAAGAAATTCGCTGCACCAATGCGCAGAACCGGCAACCAACACTCCACTCCACCCACATTGCATTAACACCTCCGCAAGCCCCGCCGCTACCAAACACAAGCCTGCGCAGAAAACAACCGCTGCCCTCCATCCATCCATGTGAAATAAAAACAAACAAAAAACATGGAAAGGAAACGGAAGGTCTCAAGATCGATCCCATCCAAGCACTAGCTACAGCACCGGCTAGAGAAGTGGCAGACATGTCATTCCACCATCCTACGGGCCGCGGACGGCAGCCTGGACTCCACAGCTTGGACTCCACACTTCGCAGCCATACATTCACTACCACAAGCACAAAAAGTCATCAACGTCGTAGTAAATTTATTTTCACTCGGCAACGTCCTCCTCGTCCTCTTCGTCCTGTTCTTGAGCGTACACGGGCTTCGGTTGTGTGGCTCGATATGCCGCTGTCCAGGCGGAGAATTCCTCCTTGGCCTGGGGGATTCAGAGAGGGAAGCAAACGGCAATCATCAATCACGGCCTGCGTCCGCGTTCGCACATCCATCCAATGCGCAGCAGCTTATAGGCTGTGCTGCAGGTCGTGAAGTAGGTTGCACTTAAGCTCGGAGGAATCGGAAGCGGGTGGCTGGTTGGTGGCTGCAACCTGGTCCTGCATCCTGTCCACAAACAAAAAAAACCTCGCTGCCTACCGTCCATCGGACACTCAACATGGGGCCAGTACTTTATAAACCCTAGGTTGGGCGATTCATAAATTTTGGGCGCCATACAACGACAACGAAAACACCGCCCGAGGATTCACGCTTACGTTCATCTAACATCACCCAACATATCACCGCGACGGACACAGTGGTGTGTACACTTAGCAGCAAGCCGTGCTCGTGCTATAGCCGCGCTGCACCACCAAGGGCAATAACCCTTGGCTACCTGCCCTCGAGAACATACCTTGTCCGCGTGCCTCAAAATCGCATCTCTGGGGTCCATCTCGTGCTCCGGAGCCAGGAGCCCGCCGCGCTGCGCGCATGCAAAACACACAGCTGGTCAATCAATGTCACGGCACATGCACACACACATACACACTACGTACACACGATAGGTGCACTTGCTGCGAGGGGCAGGGTGGGCGCTAGAAAAAACAATGTGTCACACAGCGGCACGGTCCTGTCATTATGCTGCTCAATGAGATGATGAGAGCGTCATCCGTACTCATGTAATAGAGAGAAAAAAACGGTCTTCAGCAGTATTTTGTCACACCAAACTACCCAGTGCAACAGCAGCAGCAGCGGTCCTACCTGCTTGAGGAGATGCTGGGTGAGGAGGGTGCCCCCCGTGGCGCCCAGGCGGCCCTGCTTGCCCCTGCCGGCCACCATGCCGGGGTCCGGCCGGCGGGCCTTCATCGCCTCCTTCTCCGCCTTGCGCTTCTTAGCCACGTCCTCTCTGACCAGCCAAACAAAACACACATTTTCCACGCGTGCAGGAAAAGGAGCATTGTGTTTTTTTGCCGTATTACGGCATATACTATGTCGTACGTCAAGCGGGACAAAGCTGAGGGAACAAGCGGCGCTTGGATGATGGCCTGCCTGTGTCGCTCAGATGATGATGGGGGGGTTGGGTGGGAGGGTGCGGGTGTATACTACTAGGTGGCAAACGCGGGGATGGGTAGCGAATGTGGCCGTGTGTGTGCGGGACAACCCCACCAGCATATATGTGTACGGTGATTGATGCATCCGCCTATCGGGACATCTGAAGCAGTGATATAAACAATAAGCCGCGTGCTGCTGCTGCTGCTGCTGCTGCTGCTCCAGTGACGCCAGGTGCCGGGGGTTGACTGTGTTGCTGTAAAATCAACTGACGAAAACGTCCCTTCCCCTTCCCAGGACCAGCCTACAGCCTTCCAGAACATATAGACCATAGACCATAGCATGTTCTCTCAACCGTGCGCAAATCTCCTGACTCCCGCTGCTCGCTGACCAAACTCGGCTTCTGTCACTCGGTGCAGAGGAAACCCTAAGATCCCTGTCAGGTTTCTGTTGTTGGGAGTTAGTTAGTTACGCGACGGCCTTTTAGGGTATCAATCATTCTTCAACGGGCTGATCAGAGGCCCGGCATTTACGACAAAGACAACTTCTTCGAAATCCATCTTGCTGTGCGGGGTAAGGAGGAGAAACAAATACGACAAATACGTATTTTGGACGAGAACAGCGCTTTCATGCAGAGGAGACACACCGAAACACTATGAGCAGCAGCAGCAGCAGCAGCAGCAGCAACAGCTGTTGTGTTATTATATATAAAGCAGGCTGTTGACGTGTTGACGTGCACGCAACAACACGTCGCCAGAAGCCCCCAGACCTCAACAGCGCTGCCATTTCCCGACAGGGCGCACCTGAACATTGGCAGTGCATGAGGCGTCTTGATGATGACAGGCGGTGTGAAGTCCAGGGCGTTGGGGGCCCGAGGGCGGCGTGAAGCCGCCGACACAACCCCGCGTTCACTGCGGGTCAGGTCGTACAGAGCGTGCGTCTCGCCGGACTTGCGGTTGCCTGTACGGCATATACGGCATGTACGGCGTGGACATAGTGAGCCAGATCGCGACGCGGGGCAACGCCGCCCCCGCCCGGCGCGAGGGAGTGGATTGCTAGGCAGGACGTGCCCAACCCCCCCTGCAGCCCCTTCCACTGCGCCGTCACCACTTCACGGCGCCCCAGGCGCCCAAGAGCCCAAACAATTGACGAGAACACCCCACACCCCCAAAAAACACGCAAGGGGGGACGCAGCACAATGTGTTGGAAGCTTGCTGGGGCCACACTCATGCGAGCGTTGCTCACGACGGCTGACCACAGCACCTCATTCACACGTACGGATAGTGACGGACCAAAGCCCCCAACCAACTACCCAACCACCCAACCATCCACCCAACCACCCAACCAGCCACTCACCCAGCCCTACAAAGATCTGGTTGAGGCGGTGGTGCCACGTCAGCGCCGTGACGTTACCCGGCATCCCAACCTGAACGCCGGAAGGGGCCGGGGCGGG